ACCTTTGGGATTTAACTTATAGGTAAAAGGGAATGCTTGTGTTTTTTTCATTTCGGTGTGGCAGTGACTAAGGCTGGGAGACATTCATTCATTCATTGATTCAGATCAACTGTTGTATGCCAAGCCCTGTCTTTGGAGCTAGTGGTACAAAGGTGGACAAAAACGACAACATCTCTTAAAAGTTTGATTTGGTCAGAAAGAAAAAAACAAACATAAGCTAGGGACATTATGAAGGAGACTGTGACTTAGTCTGGGAAGTATAGATACCATCCCTGAGGAAATGACATTTGAACTCAGAGATATGGATGAAAAAGTAAATCTGTATTTATTATATTTATGAATAAAATTTAATAAATTTATATTTATTATATTTTTGTATTTGTTCTTGATGCTGTGGTATTTGAGGCCTTATTGAGAGCTGACCCCCCCTTCTCTCAGACTGTTCCCTCCCAAGATTTGCTAATTCCTAGAAATATAAAAAACTGGCCACCAGGACAGTGTGTTTCATATAGAAACTAACTGCTATAGAGCCCAGAATCCCCCTTCCCACCTCCCTCTGGCTTTTATACTCTAGGCCCCTGTTTCCCCTGTTATTAACACCAGGGCCAGGTGGGAGACAACTTGGGACAGCCCCCAGAAGTCTGCAGAAGTTATACTGGCCAAGTCTGAGGTCGTTTATGCTGTTTTACTGTTCTTTCCCACATAACCTACAACACAGGCTGTTACCCATGTCTTCCTCTCACTCCTGACCAACCTTGGTGCTGCTCTGGGTAGCCCTGCATGGCATGGCACAACATGCCCCTTCTTGTAAATTTTAACAAACTATCTTTCTAAAGACAGGTGTCACCTAATATGTTGGCCTCACCACACCTAAATAATAATAAAACCTTCATTTTAGAATGTAAGAAATCAGGGGCTGGGGTTGTGGCTCAGTGGCAGAGCGCTTGCCTCACATGTGTGAGGCACTGGTTCGATCCTCAGCACCACATAAATCAAATAAATAAAGGTATTGTGTCCATCTACAACTAAGAATTTTTTTTTTTTTTTATGTAAGAAAACATGGAAGGCTTCTTCAGGCAGAGGGCCTGAGACAGGTAGGCACGTGGCATCTCTCAAGAATCATGAGAAGACTAGGTTGGCAGGAGTACAGAGGTCTGGAGGATGGGAGAGGATTTGAAGAGGTTGGCAAGGTGTGTTAGCTTTCTGTTTCTGTGACACATACCTGAGAGAAATCAAAAGAGGGAAGATTTGTTTTGGCTTGTGGTTTCAGGAATTTGAGCCCATGGTTGCTTAACCCTGTTGCTTAGAGCGTCTGATGGAAGAGGTCTGTATGGCTGCATGGAAGCAAAGATAGGAAGGGGCTGGGTCCTAATACCCACTTCAAAGGGAAACTCCCATTGACCTCACTCCTTCCAACTACACCTCACCTACTAAAGGGTCCACCACCTGTGGATAGTGCCATAGGCTGGCAACCAGACCTTTAGCATATGGACCTTTCAGGCACATTTCGGAGTCAAGCCATAGTACAAAGACCTCTACAGACTGTGTGGCCCATGTTAAGGGTGTTAATTTATGTTGAGACTGAGAACTGATTTTAGTTCCAATCCTGAAAGTAGAGCGGCCAGAGTGCATGGTTCATCTCTGATGCTGGTGAGGAGAAGGTGGGCACTTTCATTCGGTAAGTAGGAGCTCCATGGCAGGACACTCTCTAATCCAGTTATTTCTCCCCAGTTTTACTTCTTTGGCACTCTCTTCTGTCAGCTGGAACACAGAGCAGTGAGTGGTACCCATTCTCCTGCCCCTGAGACCCAGGTGAAGTTGGATTTCTGCCCTTTCCTGTACACCATCTGGACATCTGGAGTGGGAAAAGTTTTCTGCTCCTTGTCCTGAATCATCTTTGCTTCATATATCTTACCCAAGGACAGGAGTCAAGGGTGATGGCTGGACTTCAAGCCCGAAGGAATGGTTGCACCATTAACAGATCAGAGGAATCTGAGGAGATCTGGCTTTTTCATGGAAAGAATCTAGGGTTATATAAGTCAGAAGAGATTTTAAGAGTAACGGGAAGAGGATAATGTAGAGGAAGGTTACGGTCTGTCATCTGGAGTTTTTTTTTTTCGTTGGTTTTGTACCAGGGATTCAACCCAAGGGTGCTCAACCCTCCTATATACATCCTTTCCCCCAGCCTTTCCAGTGGAGTGATGATCATGAGGTTTGTTTAATTCACCATTGGTATCTACGTTATGACCACGTAAATATTGTTCCCAGCAGAGCCACATTGTATAATGTAATTAATTTTCCTTTCTTATACACTGGAGGTAGTTATTGCTTCTTTTTGCTTGCTTAGTTTTCTACTTCTCTAAAACTCACCAATAAATTCATAAAACCCATGGTGGAACACATAAGGTAATATGTGTCAACTTTTTTTCCTTGGTGAAATCCTCTTGTAATATATATATATTTGGTTTGGATTGTGGTAATGTCGACTTCACAGGAGAAGTTAGGAAGCAGTCCCTCTGCCTCTGTCTTCTAAAAGAAATCAGATAACTGGTATAACTTTATCCTAAAATGTTTGGTAGAAATCACCAGTAAACACATCTAGACCTGGTGCTTTCTGCTTTGGAATTGTTAATTATTGGTTCAAACTCTCTAATTGATTTAATTCACTCAAAGAACCAGCTTTTGGCTTTCTTGATTTTCTGTTAACTTCCTATTTTTAATTTCTAACTTTTTTAAAAGTTTCTTGTTTACTTTGGATTTAAGTTGCTCTTCTTTTTCTAATTTCCTAAGGAAGAAGCTTAGGTGATTGATTTTAGGTCATCATCCTTTTCCAGTATATGCATTCACTGCTATAAACATAATCTAAGCACTGCTTTTGCTCTATCTCACAAATTCTAATGTATTTTCATTTAGCTTAAAAATTTTTAAAATTTCCTTTGATATTCCTTTTTGGATCCATGTGTTATTTACAAGTTTGCTGTTTAATCTCCAAGTATTTGGGGACTTTATTTTATGTTCCTGTTTATTAATTTCTAGTTTAATTCTTTGTAGTCATAGACACTGTATAATTTCTATTCTCTTAAAGTAGTTAAATGTTATTTTATGACCCAGAACGTGGCTTATGTTGGTGAGTGTCTGTCTCATGTGAGCTGGAGAAGAATGTATGCTCTGCTGCTGTTGGATGAAGCAGTCAGTAGGTAGTTATTATGTCCAGTTGATTGATGATGTTGTTGCATTCAACTTAGTTTTATTGATTTTCTGTATGCTGGATTTGTCCATTTTGATGCAGTTTATAATGGAGAAAAGCTGTGAATGTCTGTTTGTAGGGAAGCTTCTGGGTGCTGGTCAAACTTTGATGGTCATCGATATGGTGAGAGACTACCATATCATGGAATATGCAAAAAGCTGGCTGTTGCCCATCTCTTGTATAAAATGAGAGAGTTCATCCTGGAGAGAAGCCTGCTGATGTGTTGAACATAGAGGGTGCTTCAGTGACCGCTCCACATATTCAACATGAGAGAATCATGGTGGAGGAAAGCCTTACAAGTGTAGTAAATGTAGGAAAGGCTTCAGCTGCAGTTCATAACTTTCTCACCATCAAAGAATTCATGGTACAGAGAAGTATTAGAATAATCAATACCGGAGTTATTGAATGTAAGTTGCTGGCCAGGACTAAACTAACCTAGGACTCCTGCTACAGGGAGGCCCTGTAAACACTGAGAATGAAGAAGGCAACGATTGACAGCACATTTTCCACTCACATGTTGTCTTTCGCACTTGTTCAACCTGCAGAAGGTCATGGTGGAGACTGCAAGGGACGACACTCTTATTTAGCATTTAGCTTAAAGCTCCACAAACATGACCTTGAAATTGCCTGGGTTTTGTTATTGATAAAAGCCAAGAATGTGCACATTTCCACTGGAGGCCTTGGCGGTGGTGCAGCGCTGGCAAGCTCACAGATCTGGAGCAATAACGGCGAAAGCAAACCTGCAGCCACTTCACTCACACTAAGCTGCATCTGCATCCCTTGCCCAGCACTTGGGACTTCAACCCCCAGCTGTCTCAAGCAAGGAATCAGTGAGCTGTTCTAAACAAAGGAGCAAGAGACCTTGCCTCTCAGTGCGCGGGAAGTATAGGAGGCGGGCAGGGGCGGCAGAGTGGCTGCGCACAGGAGGGTCACCTTGACTTGTTATCCCTCCCTGGAACCAGCCACACCAGGAGGCCCTGCATTTCTCCTTAAACAGCCTACCCAGCCCTTCTGCTGGACTTCCTCATGGGAACTCCAAGCTGTGGGTTCTTTGCTGACTCGTTAAAGAGGCAGGCTAACTCACCAGACACCCAGCCTGTTTTATACAGCACCCTGACCAGTGCCCAGGTGCTGGTGGCTGTTCAGAGGTTAAAGACACCAGGTTAAGGAAGGAAACCTTTCTCGCTGCTCCCTGTGCACATGTACCCCTAGGCACACCACATCCTTCCTGTGTGTCTGGATCTGAAATGGCTAGGTTTGGATCTGACCCTTAAGGGTGGTTGAAAGAGGGACTGTTGTGGGGAGCCCTGCCAGTATTTCATTAGAGTAGCACAAATGGACTAAGACAGTGTTTCTTCTGTCCATTACTATTCCCCACTAACTCTAAGACCACCCCACCCCAGCTTCCCATCTAGTTTTTGGCCATCTCTCATTTCCAAGCCATTCTGTCACCTCTACCAGATTACTCTCCCCTCTCAAACCCAACCTAGCTGCCACAATGAAAAATGTCTCATATTTCCCTTATCACCTAAAATATGAAATCCAAAAAATTTAGTACTCAAGGCTGCTGCCATCTGGCTATGTGATTTCAAATCCCCCATCTTACTTTTGACTTGGTAGCATCCCCTGCCCTAGGGAGTGCAGTTCATCCGCTGGAACAACTGAGCATTTCCTACTTTTTTCTCTTCTTTTCTAGATCTTGCCAGGATCCAGCTTAAGAGGACCAGTGCTGGAATCAGCAGAACTGGGGCTAAATCCTAGTCCCTGAGTAAGTGATTTAACATCTATAAACTTCAGTGTCTTCATTCCATAATATGGTGAACTAAATGATTAAAATATGTGTAAAGCTTTTCTTCTGACACTAAGGAATGACCTAATATTCTTTATGTCCTGCCCGTCACAACCCCATTCCATCTTGAGAGTAGTCTCCATGCCTGCCTTCCTGAACCTCTTACTGGGAACCTAATGCTTAACCGCATGTCGTTATGTTATACTGGTTATATATACTGAGATATGCTGTTATGATACCAAGGGCATTGCAGGGTTACATGAAAGCCAGTGCAAAAATTCACCCTAACTCTAAGTTAAGCTTTAGAAAATCTTTTTTTTTTATTGACTTTTTTTCTTCCAAATACAGACTTAGCAAATGACTCTCTCACTTTGATTTTCAGAATGCTGAATTTGCATCCCAAGCTGAATAATTTGTGGCATGTCATATCCTGTCCTGATCTCCTGGGAATCTTTTCTTTCCTTCAATGCTGTTATGTATGTGGTTTTGGCTTTCTATTTTTTTGTGTCTTGAATCACATTTTTTTTAATGTTTATTTATTTATTTATTTTTAGTTTTCGGTGGACACAACATCTTTGTTTGAATGTGGTGCTGAGGATCGAACCCGGGCCGCACGCCTGCCAATCGAGCGCGCTACCGCTTGAGCCACATCCCCAGCCCTCGTGAATCACATTCAACACATGATGGAGTTAGAATAGAATAGATGGCTGTTGCCTATTATGACAGTTAAAAGAAACACCTTCTAGTTTTTTTAATTTCTGTAATAAAAGCTACAGACCCTGCAGGAGATGAAATGAAAGGCTACAGTGGCTGTGCAACAGTGGAATCACATCAACCAGCCTTTGCTGAGCACCTATTATGTCAGGCATGGCTTTATCATTTGACATGAAGTAGAAAGCCCAGAGGCCAGCATCCTAGAAGCTCTAAAGGGTCAATCCAAAGACTTAGTTTAGTATTCAGGGTAGGGTGACAAAGGCCATGATACCCGTGAAAGACCATCTCTGTGAAAAGACTTAGTGCTGCAACATTAAATTAACCCCTCCTGTTTAGATTAAAACTAGAGTCCAGCACTACACTGTTTGTATTAGGTGGGGCTTAGAAGAGATTGAGATGATTTCTAATTTCAAACAGCTTATGGGAAAAGGCACCTGAGCCCCTACCATGGTGTGCCTGTGGTCCCAATACTCATGAGACTGCCGTGGGAAAATCTCTTGAGCCAGGGGTTCGTGGCCAGCCTGGGCCACAGAGAGATACTGCTTCATAAACAAAACAGAAACAAACAGAGAAAAGAAAAGGAGACCTGAAAGAACCAGAAACCAGAATAAAGCAATGTGGGAGAGTAATGCAAATCCTCATGGCAAAGGATTTCTAAGGTGGTGGGGAGAAAAAGTGTCACAAAGGAGACAGGATGTGAGCGGGGTCTTGTGTAGAATCTCTGGAGATACAGAGAAGAAAGTGGGACATGTAAAAGGTGCCATGGACTACCATGAAAAGAAGGTGTCGTGGGGACAGAGGATGGGTCTGCCCACATGTACTGCCTTGGGGAGCTGATGGGAAATAAGTAAATAAACAGGCCCAATTATGAAAGGCCTTGTAAAGGTGTCTGAAATTTTTCTTGGGAACACTGCAAAGCTATGGACTAATTTTTAACAAAGTGGTAGTTTAATAAGTCAGCTAAGTCAAGTCCGGAAGAAAGGACAGCATGTTGCATTTACTTAATAATATAGGCCCAAGACACTGGAATCAGTTACTAAGCCCTTTCACCAAAAGTCGGGCAGACTGATCATAGGGAATAGTGGAGCCTTACTAAGCAACAGTTATAGGCATTCAGTGTCTACTTAGTTCTTTTTGATGTTTTATATGAATTGAAAACAAATTCTCTATCTTTAAGGAACTTATCTTATTCAATTACTTCAAGTATATAATCCAATAAAATGAGTTATTCTGGCCTCACCCTTACCCCAAATCATAAAGATGATCACTGCTGCTCAGAGAAATACCAGGAGAAAGGCAGAGTGGATCACCACAGAATCTTGGGTCCTAAAATATGCCCAAGTTTTAAGAAGAGTGGCCGAAAGTGTCAGTTCTGCAAATGTCAAATAGGAAGAGGACTGAGAAACAGGTCCTGGGTTTACCCTTGAGATCAGACTGGTAAAAGTTAAAGCCAGAGGCTCTGAGTTTCATGAAGTCTGGAAACAAAATAAAAGTTCTTAAAAACAGGACAGCAACTGAAAGCATGCCCCCCCCCCCCAATATTGAAGGAACCAAATGTCTCTATGATTTTTTAGGAAGTTCTGGGTAAATATTTAATAAAAGGAAATTAGGATTATTTAGGCACATTAGTAAAACTATGGATTATTCTTTGAGGGAAAATACTATGGTGAAAAGGCAAGGGTGGGAGGCAAGAAAAATCTGGTTTTCTAAGTCAGGAGATTTGCCTCAATGCCACTATCCCAAACTGGTCAGAAGTGGTTGGGAAACATGATTCACTGAGTGGAGACTCAAGCCTTATGGAAAATCAAGGTGACAAGCCACAGAGTGCCAGGCAGCTGTGTGTGCGAAGGCTGGAGCCTTTCAGAATACGAGATTGAGCATGTTAGCCTCTGAAGGCCATCCCTTTGTTTTACTGATCACTCATTTGAGCATTTCGGGGAGAGTGAGAGAGAGGAAGGAGGAGAAGGAAGGAAGAAGAGAAAGGGGTGGAGGAAAGCTTGAAACTGGGGTGGCTAGTGGTCCAGGTGTGTGAACCAAGGCGTTCTGGGAGGAGGACATGCAGGTGCTCTTGTGGAGCCTGGTACAGACTCAGCAGTGCTCCTCGGTGTGAAGCTCTGGTGTCTGACAAGAGTCGAGCTCTGCTGAACACCTTCCCACAGTCGCTGCATTCATAGGGATTCTCCCCTGTGCGTGTTCTCTGGTGTTCGGAGAGAGAGGAGACCCAGCTGAAGGATTTCCCACCCCGACTGCACTTGTAGGGATTCTCTCCAGTGTGTATGCGCTGGTGTTGGATCATGGTTGACCGGTCACTGAAGGCTTTCCCACATGCACGACACTCATAAGGCTTCACTTGAGTATGAGTTCGCTGATGTTGGTTGAGGTTAGTGCTCCGGCTGAAGGCCCTTCCACATTCGCTGCACTCATAAGGTCTCTCTCCAGTGTGAGTCCTTTGATGTTCAATAAGGTGTGTGCTTGGACTGAAAGTCCTGCCACACTCGCGGCATCCAAAAGGCTTTTCTCTGCCATGAAGGCTCCCGTGAACAATAAGGCCTGACTGGTTGCCTTTACAGGGTTTCTTTTGTGGGAGGAGTTTTGGCTGTTGAATGAATTCTGGGCTATCTTTGGAGTGTTCCCTGGATATAGGGTATTTATCTCCCTTTGGAATTTTCTGTTGTACACCAAGGTTGGACCTTGGTCTGAAGTCAGTGGACTCAGGGTGTCCCTCCCCATTGAAAATATCCTTCAACGTCACTGATACTAGCTTCATTGCTGTTTTCTCAAAAGAGAGTTTTTTCTGTGTGGGACATTTTACCTGCCTTGATGACTGGCTCTGTCTCTTACAGCCTTCTTCACTTTTAGGACCCTGGACACCATTCCCTCTGAGACTTTTCATTGCTGATCCTGAAACTCTACTTCTTCAGAAACAGACTGATTGCTGTTGATACTTTGGTGCAGTTCAAATCTCCCTGTCTGGAAGACATTTAAAGTGCAGATGTCACCTGTGTCTAGTGTGGATCACAAGGAAAATAAATCATCAGGGAAAACAACAACTAATTTGCAATTCATGCACACTAGCAATTTTATATGAGGAGAAAACCAAGTGAGATAATGGAAGAGAAGTAAGAAGTCAGAAGAAGAGAGGCAGTGGCAGTTTGGGCAGTAGACAAAATAAGCACAGAGATATCAAGAAATATGGGAAGAGGGACTGCATAATATGCTAAGTCAAAAAAAAAAAAAAACGGAAATGTGCACATGCCAGCCAGTGATCAGAGAGAGAGCCTGCTGGTAAATGCCCTGTTACTGTGGCTGACTGGTCACAGGACAGCAGCCAGGGCAGGGTAAAGAGAGGAAGACTTGCAAAGGAGCAAGGGTGCCATCAGAACTGAAACGGCCATTTTCCTGGCACTGAAAGGTAACAATTATTCAGAAATACCATCTTCCCCCGACTTCAACTACTTCAGGTAGTCTTCTAAAGAAAATTAAAGTCACAGACTGCTAGGAGCTTACCAGCACCAGCACTCATCTCAGTCAATGTGCTCACAGATGGGCTAAGAAAACAGCCTAAGCAACTTGCCTAGAACACACAGCTAAGCAACTGCAAAGGCTTGGACAAAACTTTCTCCTGAATTCCAAATGGGTGATCTTTTGTGATCCCACTCACCTGTCCTGGTGTTCTGGGCATTCTGTCCTTCGGCTGGTCAGGCCCAGTTCACATGCTGGGACTCCTGCTGATTGGAGTGATTATTTAACCCAAGGCTGCAGGTGCTGGAGACCACACTGTTCACAGCTCCATCTCAGTTCTGTGATCTATAGAAAAGGTAGCTGCACTTTCACGGAGGCTGTGGCATAAGCTGAAGACTTGGATATCTGAAAGAGGCGAGAATTTGCAAAAGACAGGTGACACGTACACACTCCTAAGTCACTTATGTGATTTGTCACTCTGGTTACCTGGGCCTTGCCTCAGCCTAGTAAATGTGATGGCCCTGGCATTTGTATTTTAGTACAGTTCCTGGCTCCAGCATCTTTCTATTGGGAAAATTGGAAAATCTGAAGATCTTCTTGCACATCTGGACTCTTGAATTTTCCCCATTAAAGCTTATTGTTTAACCTGTTCTCTTGTTAATTTATCTGGAGTTCTTGCATATGAAAGGAGGCCATGGACTATAAACAGTTCCCCAAATGTTTCTGCTTTGAGATCTGCTGGATTAGGGAGTTTACCTGGTTTTCCAGTTTTTCCTTTCTCATAGACTGGGAATCTCCAAGACATGGAGATTCTACCAAGAAGCCACACATTGAGAACCTCAAGAGCAACATGACAATACCTTATGCCTGACTTTGCCTTTCAACTGGAAACGGAACACAAGTGCCCTACTGCTGGGTTGAATGGGTGGCCAGAGAACCTTTGCATTAAAATCCAGTCGCAAACTTCATGACACCAGTGTTCCTTAACAGGAGTATGCCCTGCTGTGAGCCTGGCTGGCTTTGATTCTTGCAGCCCACCCAGATCCTTAAGCTACTCCATAGTTATTTTGTTGGCAGTTCACTGTTATTCTTTAGTTATAGTGATCCCTAGGCTTCAGTGCAGAATCCTACAGAGGGTTTGGGGAATTTGGGGGGATTTCCGGATTGTTACAATGATTGCCGCTATTGTAATTTAGTGGCAGCCAAGGATGACAGACATTCCTGCCAAACTAGGCATTGTTCATTATCCTGCCTGTCTTCCAAAATAGGTTAAAGTTATCTGTAGCTAGAACTCAACATCACTTTATATATATACACAAAGTAATTTGCAAACTTTCATATATATTGGAAAATCAAGAAAATGTTGATTATTATTAGGAATTATTCACCATTTCAGGAAAATAAAACCACTTATAGTATCAGATTCACAAATATGACATTCATGAATTAGTCTGCATTTGTAGTTGCATTCAAGGAATTTTAACAGGTACGACCTTCTATTTCTTCCAGTCGTTTACATGTGGAAATGATTTTCTAAATATACAAAATTTGCCTTTTTCTTTGTTTTTGATATTACAGTTGAGGTAATATATTGACATTTTGGAAATTATTTCTATAGGTAGTTAATATCTATAAATCTTATTTCAGGATAATATAGAGGGGATGGTGAGTCTGAGGATGGAGACACACTTCTCCAGTGCAGTGGAATTAAAACTAGATGAACAATGCATCACTCAGCAGGTACATGAAGCCACTAGAGCCAAAGACCTTGTCCCTAGCAGAAGTCCTTAAGGATCTGGGAATAACTCAGTTGCCATAAGGGTGCTGTGAGGATTAACAGGAATGATGGTCACAGTGGTATTATTACATATTATATTCCACCCTGGAGGTGAGGTACTGTTAGGAAGTGTTTAGGTTTGGGGAGGCAAGGAAAATCCAGGAAGATCTGAAATTTGAAGGTCTTCAAAAATTGTCTTACTAAACCAATTAAATACAGGACACCTAAAATAGGCAGGAATCCTGATCTAGGACAAGGTTCAAAGGATACAGCCAATTTCAAGTTCAGGATTCAGGCTTAACCTTATTAGTAGTATAATGATTATTAAACTGCCAGTTTGATATCCAATTTTAATCCAACTAAGGTGTATGTATTGTTTAGTACAAGAGCCTCAAAATGTTTTGCATTTTAGGTAAGTACATTATGTATATGACTGCAGTATGCATCATGTAAGTTTGGGTATGTGACACATGATGAACACAAAATGTTATTGTTTCCACCTTTAAAACAAACAAAAAGAAAACAAAAAAAAAAAAAAAAAAGAAGAAAGAATAAATAAGGAACCTGAAAGGAGCCTGACTTGGAAATGCAGCCTGCAGAAAGGGCCCCGTTTTTTTGCTCTGCCTGTTCTAAGCCTGTATTCACAAATACTGACTTGTTTATTCCTCGCAGTGACTCTGTGAGAGTGGTACTGTTAGTTCCACAACATAAACAATGAGCTGGAAGTACAGAGGAGTCACATGATAAATGCTGGACTCAGGTACTATAGCATACAGATCTGGTGCTTCTCAACAGACAGGAAAAGAGCACAGAGTCACACTTTCCAGTCCTTGGCCCTTCAGTGGCCAGGAAACTCAACTCCTGATCCCAGGATACCAGTAGGACCTTGACTTCAAAGTACCCTGAGGTTAGGGAGTGTCTGGTTCCTGGGGGTTGTCCCTGGGAAGATGTAGTGAATTCCAATCAGACTAAAAGCCCGATCTGTGAAACCCAAGGACTAAACCCTCCATCCCTCCCCGACAGGTCAGTGGCAGCCTCAGCACACTTTGGAGAAATGTTAGACAGATGTTCTGTGGTATAGCATTGACCAGCTAATCTGGATTTTGGTCATAGCTTATTGGTAGCTATATAGAAACTAGAGGGGAAAAAAAAAACAGTCTAGTTTTATATATTCTCATCTGTAAAGCAAAGATGTTGTGAGAGACCCCAGCCCAATAACTTTAGGCCCAGTTACAAAATCATCAAGGCTTGCTTTTGCACCTGCACAGGCGTCAGATGTGTTTTTCAGATAATCAGTTAAGTGTAACCAATTAGGAAAGAACAGAATGGTTGGGAAAGAACCGGCACGGTTGAGCAAACGGAAGCATACAGTGAAAAATAAGTGGTTTTTATGTGGTTTTCCAGGAACCTATAGTGAAAAACAAGTTTACCCTTTAAGTGACCTATATGCTGGATTCAAAAGAGCCAATGAGATACCTGCTACTGTGCTAGGCGGGAAACTGACCACTGTACCCTATAAAAGATCTGTACCCCAAAGCCCGGTGTGCCAGTTCACCTAAGCTCCGGCTGAGGTGTTGCTGAGCACCCGCAGGCGCCTGTGTATTAATAAACTTGCCTCTTGCTTTTGCAGCCAGTGTTTCATGTGGTTCACTTTGGACAGGGACTCTGAGGGTCTTTCAATTGGACTTGATTTCTTTTCTAAAGCTGATGTCTAGTAGTTTAGTTTTAGATCCCACACTCCGAGACACATATCTACCTACCTAGACCAATGGGTTAAGACTAAAATGAAACCACTCTTTCAAACCCAGGGACATCACCACATTTCAGACAAGACCATTCAAGAAACAGGTCCATAAGGCTGTGTTCTCGAATCACCTAATGATGCATCAGAGTAGTGACAGCACTGAGGAAGACATCGAGGGCAGTCAGCAAGCAAATGAGCAATAGTCCTGCCCTGGGAAGAAGAAAAATCTGGCAGACTCCTCCAAGAAGAGAAGTTCTGCAAAAGAGAAATATCAGCTTGGCAAGATGACGGCAGATTTTCAGAAAAGAGGAAAAAAATTGATGTGGGATACAGATATGGAGAAGTAAGCAGTTGCCTTTCCCCCTGTGGCCTCTTCTTGGCTTTGTTTTTGATCAACAGAGCAAGGAAAATGTCTTACCCTAAGGCATCCAAAATCATGGTCTAGTAATGTCCACATCTGGCCAACTGAGTGCCACCCTAAAGATGAAGAGGAAAATGAATGCCCAGACATAGCCACAGCTCTTCCCAGAAACAGAATGACAACAGAATCACCTAATGATGCATTACAGTAGTGATAACACTGAGGTAGACATGGAGGGCAGTCAGCAAGCAAATGAGCAATAGTCCTTCTGTCTGGAGTTAAAGGCCATTTTTGATGATAAAGGATAAAAGGGACAGATCTAGACTAAATCTTTCTTGAAATTCTAGGTGATCTGACCTCTTTGTGAATTTCCTCACATGGGATATGAGTTCAAAAAGAGTATGGGATGGCAATAGTCTCCTTACTTCATCCCAAGTGTCAAAATAGAAGGTAATGGACCCTGCTCGGTGCGGTGCTTCCCTGGGCAAGTTACTCAACCTTATGAAAAATCTGGCCCCACACTGTAAAATGCCATTGCTTATACTTGCTTATCTTTTCTTACAAAGCTTTTGTGACTGCTACATGTTAAAATATGGCAAACCATTTACAATTAAGAATATCATATACAACACAAGGGGATGATATTACTGCTAAGCTCCTCCCACAACTAATCTGAAGATTGTGAAGCTGTACATTTAAAGAGAGATGCCCTCAGTATTTGTGAGCCTCTTCAGCAGCTGCTGGACCTCAACATCGCACACAGGCCTTCTTTCTTCTTTGGGGCATGCACGTGAAATGGCGAGGGCTGGAGATGGGACCAAATTTTCAGGGAGAGCCCCCAAATCACATTTCAGAGCAGCCAAGGGGTCACTGTCGTCACAGATGAGGGATTACGGTCATGCCCCTGCTCCAGGTTCCCTCCAAAGGGTCCCTCCAACCTGATGTGCAAGGTGGCCCTCCTTTTCTGCTCTCTTCCTCATGCCTGAGTCCTGTGGGTCGCCTCGCTGCCCTACAGACGTCACGCCCACGACAGCATCATCCTCTCAGGTGGAGTGGTCATAAAGTGCCGCTCCACGTGCCAACAGACCAGCCCTTGCACGGACTTTCCACCGCGGACAGCAGCGCTCCCCACTCAACTCCAGCCACCAGGGTTCCTGCGCACTTTCTCCTGCACCCCGCTCCCCACCGCCTTTATTTTCCGCTCTTCAGCCTCAGACGGTCTGACGTAAACGGAGGCCAGAGTGGGGGTCTGGCACCGATCTGGCTTCTGCAGCGCCCTTCGCGGTGCACAAAGGAGCCAGCCGCAGGGGTCCACCCCGCGAGGGCGGCGCGCGTCCAACCGACTACCGCGCCCCGAGCTCTGGCCCCGCCCCGTCCCGCTCGCGGCCCTCCGCCTGGGCCTCGGCCCGCCCCGCTCGCCCGCCGCAGCCGGGACCGCGCCTGCCGCGGAACCTTCGGCGCTGGGCGCGCGGAGGCCGGAAGGGCCGCGGGGACACTCACGTCCGCGAAGACGCCTCCGCGGGGGGTTCCCGGTGCGGAACGCTCAAGCCTGCGCGGAGCCCGTTTTGCGAGCTGGACCGGCGGCCTCGCCTCTGCGCCTGCGCCGGAGTCTGGAGTCCGGGGCTCGCCCTGGCGTGCGGGAGCGCCCGGGCTTGCGCGAGAACTCCTGCTGGGCCCAGGGGCGAGGGCCAGGGCCGGTGGGGCGCGGTGGGGCGCGGTGGGGAGCGCGGGCAGGGCCCGAGGTGCCTGGCGCGCTGTGCTCTGCAGAGCAGCCCCTGGTGCGCTTTCCTGCCTCGGTCCACGTGTCTGTCCGTACTCCAGGACCGCAGTCACGAGGTTACCGGAGGCTCCCATAAAGTTCTTCAATTATGAAGTTCAAATGTTTCTACTTTATTTTCTTTTCCAATTGCCCCGTTGGTTTGCCCTATGAATCTTAGGAGGGGTTTTGCTTTAAGATCATGCCATCAGAGAAAACATTCGGCTTGGTTTGGGGGGATTGGCTAACTTCACTTAGCATATTCTCCAATCAGATGCCGAATAGTTTCTCTGCTATGAGGAGGCTGAATCGTGGGGTTGGGGAGACCATGGTAGGATTAGGTGAACTCTAGACAGGGCAGGGGAGGGAGAGAAGGGAGGGGGTATAGGGGTGGGAAAGACCGTGAAATGAGCTGGACATCATTATCCTAAATACGGTGAAGCCAGAATTAGGCAGTCAGTATAGATAGGTATTGATAGCTGGTATCCTGATATCCCCAGAAGAGGATCCAGTGTTAGAGTCTGTAAACAAGTCAAAATAACACCTGGCATTTTGCCAGGGGAATGTTAGCATTCGTAAACAAGTCTGGATGGTGCCTGGCAAAATGCCAGAGGGAGTGGTTTGAGAAGTAACAAAAGCGAGCCATTAAGTGTAGAGATTCCTGATTGGTTGACTGATGTATCTAGTTTATGCTAATTAGATAAGCTGTGTGGAATGTATAAATACTGCTCCTGTCCTGCAATAAACGGCTCCTACTCCTGCTGTATCAACGTACACAAGTTGTTCGTCACCCCCCAGTTATTTTGCTGCAGCCGGACTGCGGCAATCCAGGAGGCTAATTTTGAGTGAGTCCCAGAAGTTGGAGAATGAAATGTTAATTCCTAGAGCCCTTCCTCCACTCATTACTAAGAACCTGCCCCTGCTCCAATCTGTTGCTAAGGTAACTCATCCCAGGAGTTGCTCCTCCCTATAGGGAGCTATAAGATTGTTAATGTGTGCTGGATTGCACCATCCTTCCCTTCCCGCTTCAGCCCACCTGTTTCCCACCTTTTGGCCCTCCTAGGGAGTATCCCTGGGGCTAGGCAGGAAGGAGAAACAGGAGGCGAAGAGGGCAGGAGAATGAAGGAAGCCTAGGACATATAAAAAGGGCAGAACGCCTGGCTTCTGGGGATACCAGCTATGGTCCCCTTCTCCCTGCAGAAGTCTATGTTACCCCTTTTTAAATAAACTCTGCTTTAATTGCTTGCCTCTGTGGGCTTCTCTAATGTTCAAACTTCAACATGTGAGGAAGCAGGACTCTTCACCAATAACAGGCAGTATCACATATATGAAGAAACAAATGGTGTGACTCTACTTTGTAGACAACCAGAGATATGAAAAATTGTGCTCAATATGTGTAATATGAATTGTAATGCATTGTACTGTCATATAACAAACTAGAATTAAAAAGAGATCATGCCATCAACAAATAAAGACAGGTTCACTTCTTTCCATTATGGAGGATTTAACTTCTTTTTAATTTTTTTCATTGAATTGACTGAACTGCCAGTGCAATATTGAACAGAAATCAGAGCAAAAATTCTTGCTTTGTTCCTATGGTCAGGGGAAAGCGTTTAATCTTTGCCGCAGTCTGGCTGGGCACAAATCACGAGCCACCACACAGCTTGTAGATTCAAACAGCAACTCTTTATTCCCGAACTCACACCAGCCGGCTACAAACACGTTCTGGGATCCGAATTATTATTATTTTTTTTATTCACGTGATTTAAATGGTTTAATTTAAATTATGTAAACAGCTGTTAAGGATTGTTTTTAAAGGTGGTTAACAGATCTGTTTGTTTACTAGTTTAAATTAGGTAAAAGGCTGTTAAGGATTGTTTTTAAAGTAGGTTAACAGATCTGTTTGTTTACTTTCACCTTTCCTTTTCATTATATTTAATAATTCTTTTCAGGATAATGTCTCTTTAGCATCATTGCCAGAATTCCTATCTCCATCCCAGTGCCGGTGAAGAACTCAACAAGTAATGCTCAATCAAAGAGTCAACTTACTTTGGGAGGAAACGGATTTTGGGAGGAAATGGACATATTGATAGATTCCTCCGCTTTGAACTGCTTGCAGAACTTGCCTGGACTATGTAACTATGGTTTGGTGCAGCGAATTGTGGTAATGCTGGCATATCTTTGCTGATGGTGTCACCAGTGATGCAATTTTTCCCAAGGAGCCGTCAATTGGCTTGGTGTTGTGGCATTTCTGTATTCTCCTCCCTTCTGCTAGTGATGGTCTAAAATTTGGGGGCCAATGGCTGTATGCTGGACCGGTAGTCAGTGACGGGTATGATCCAATTGCAGTGGTATCAACCTAAGACAGGAGGCTGACGCCTAAAGGTCAGTTTTCCGATGACGGGTAAGAACCATATGTTGAATTGGACAACCTACCAGGCACGGTCCATAAGCCACATTAACCTCACTCCCCCACTGGCACCAAGGCCAAATTTGGGGGCCAACAGAGGTGAGGCAAAGAACCTCACCCCCCCACTGGTGCATAGACCTATCCACAAGTATGGCTGTATGCTGGACCGGTAGTCAGTGACGGGTATGATTCAATTGCAGTGGTATCGACCTAAGACAGGAGGCTGACGCCTAAAGGTCAGTTTTTCCCATGACGGGTAAGAACCATATGTTGAATTTGACAACCTACCAGGCACTGTCCTTAAGCCACATTGCTTGTTGTTTAATTAATCAGAAGGGGGGAGATGCTGGGAGCCATTAGCCAAGTAGGTATGACAATTTCCTTGCCAGCGTACCCCATGTTGCTGACATGTTGCAGTGACATTGAATGTAGGTGACCTTGCTCAAGGACCAAGGCAGATTAGGGTGTTCCCGGTTTAAGATAATCGTGTTTAGGGCGTTCCGGTTTAGGTTCCAGGTTTAAGGTTTAAGATTATTCCTGCTGGGAATAGGGCGTATCCTGCTGCCTGAGTTCCCCTTGAGTTCTCACGGGATTTAGACAGTATATTTTGGAGATAGAAGCCCAGTGGAGGTGGATTTGGGCAGAGAACGTGGATTTCCCCAGAACGTGATTGTAGATGGCTGGTGTGAGTTCGGGAATAAAGAGTTGCTCTTTGAATCTACAAGCTGTGTGGTGGCTCGTGATTGTGTGCCCAGCCAGACTGCAGCAGTAAAGGCCTTGTAGCTTTACCTGGTTGAAATCTCCATTGCAATGTTTAAAAACTCCATAGTCAAAAAATAAAACTGATCAGAAAAACATTAACCTAGGTTTATATGAGCTCAAAAAATAAAAATAGAACCTTATGATGTGGAAAAATGCAATAATAAAATAGCTATTGAAAAAAGCATCCTGGTTAATCACTGTCGCAGATGTAAGAATGGCCAAGCTGGAGTTCTGGATATCAGCTGTTATGGATTTGAGTCAAATCATCTTCTTTTCGATCTGTAGAAATTGTTTTAGTTAATCTCTCTGGAATCCAAATCGGCTGCTGTTCTCCCTGTGGAAACACACAAACAAAACCCCGACTCCAGACAATCACTGGGTCAGGACCTTTCCATTGTCCTGTTAGAATATCTTTCCAAAGTACCTTAGGCTTATGTACATTTTTTGGATACATATGCCTTTCCGCAGCACTAAGTTCTGATGAATCCAAATTTAAAAAGTTTAGAGTAAAAAGGGTTATTTTAAGTTTATCTATGGGGGATATATACCCCTTTCCAATTCCCTCTTTTTGCTTTAATAAGTATGTCTGTATCTAATAGTTGTCTTAGCTTTTTGCATTTTCTACCTGAAATACCTTACTTGAATCCTATTATCTTCTCATTTTTTTAAGCAATGCCTTTAAGATTAACTAAGCTTCTTTCCTCCATCATGAAGGCATTTTAACCACCTTCAATTTAACCTTTTAAAGCCTTTTAATTATCATCTATACTGTACTTTTAAATGTACTTTTTCACCACCCTCAACTTCACTCTTTTAAACGAGGCTTAGATTGTTTAAATCGCTTCAATGTTAGTTTACATGGCTGCCCTTCAACCAAAGGCTTTTTTTAAAAACTCCATTGAGAAGCTTTGTCTCAATCTGCCATGTACAAATACCTTTTTCTTCTTTCTTTCTTTCTCAAGCTTTTAAAGTAAGTCTAGTTTCCTCAAAATCTTTTTAAATGGCATTTACAACTTTTTACTTTACCACACAGAGATTATCTCATCTAGAAACATTTCTTTTTCCTTTAACCTTTTATATTAAAATATATTTCCACATCTTGAATCTTTTTCTATCTCTTTTTTAACCGTTAACCCTTTTTATAAATTCACATTTTGAAACAACTCTTATAAAATGTCTGATTTAGACAAATTACTCCACTTTAATAAGATGAAAGACTTTCATGTTTTTTATGATACTATAATACTATAATTGAAACCCAACTGAAAATTTTTCTACTCTTTGTATATAAATTACACGATAGAATCTTAACTCTTAGTAACCTTGTTTTAGCAAAGACACAGACACAAAGCAATATTAAACCTTTTTCCATTTACCA